AATCCGTGACGGCAGACAGACAGATGGAAACGGACCCGATTACAATACTTCCTTTGCTTACGCTCAGGAAGTAAAAATAACACACTCCTACATTTATAAATTCGTGTTGAGTTTTTACTACAGACAGACGGATTACAAATTAACTTCGAACTTGCAAAACCGAATAAATACCGTGAAATATTGTAAACGTTTTAAAGTTATGGGAAGCATGATAAATCGTTAATCAAAATTTGTCCATTGATGGCATCCCCAAAAATCGTCATTTTACAATTTTGTCGAATAAAATGTTCTTAAAATATAAATGAGTGTGTATACTAGACATCAAGTGTAAAAAAAAACAAATATGCTTAATTAATTAGTTAGTCCTCTGCTATGTGTTGACGAGACAAAATCATTCCAATTTTATTTTCTTTTAATACAAATGCCGCCGCTGATGCTTGTTATGTGGATACAGTCGAAATCTTTCTTAGTGCAAACATAAACAGTCGATGTTAATGTTAAACATGTATTCAGAAATTAAGAATATATTTTTGCCGTTCGTTATCTGTTTTAAAAATATTTCATATTGTCCGCATTTGTGCGAAAGACGCGCCCTTGGAATTTGCGCTCCCGCGGCACAGGGCATCGAGGGTATTATTAGATTTACGCCATTGGTTTTTACTTTAAAGGTTATCACGAACTAAGAATCGCAAAATCTAATTTTATAATTTTTCAAAGAAGCGGGATTGGTTTCATTGTACCTTAAGAGCGACGGAAGTTTGTTCTGGAAATAACCTTGGAAAGAAATAAAAAAATAAAAGAAAGAAAGGAAATAATAAGTAAATAACTTAAAATGTTGGCATCAAATTTTCAGCTAGTTATTTTCTATTCACAAATTAATTTTACGTTTCCATCGTACAATTAAGAAAACATATAGCTTAAAGACCCAAAAAAATGATCTGAGTTACTAATGGTAACTGTTAAAAAAGCTATTTAGGTCTAAAACGATTGTAAGTATGGTATCTACATATATTTGCTAGGAAGACAACCCTTTATCACTTGGAATATATTTTTCTATAAACGATATATACCTATAAAGAATCAAATGAAATACGCTGCTTTATAATTTATGAATAAATTTTCAAAAATTTTATCTCAAATAATTAATTAAGAGTCATGTGTCAGTTATTAAACTAAATGCATGAAGATATTGTAATAAAGTCCATCAGGCGACTGGTTACTTTCATGACTTCTAGCGTACGAAAAAACTGGCCTCCCGTTTTCGTCTATCTGTCGTCTGTCTGTCTGTCTGCCTGTCTGCCTGTCGCGCGTGTGTGACTGTGGCTGTGGCTATGCCTTGAAGGCAAGTGTAGCCAGCCCCATGAAGGAATGTGAGAAGCGCGACACCACCTACTGTCAAATTTTGTAGATGGTATAACACTAACCAAAATTTGGCTAATCATCCCCACCAACAATTAGATCTCAAAAGTTTCTACATTAAAATTATTTAAATGTTACGCAATAAAATACTCCTACACTTGTGGTTTATAAGTACCCATTGTGTTTTAATCAGAATTTTTTTACAAAAATATTTGTGCAATATTCGTTTTATATGTATAACCGATATCTCGCACAACTCTGATGCAAATGCGCCGTGGTCATGTGAGATAAAAAAGGATTGAAATGGGGTCTGCACCCGTGAGTTCGAATCTCATCCCTGTTGAGATTTTTTTCTAAGATATTGAATTTGCTTGAATGTTTGATTCCAGATTCGCGAAGAGTAGTTTCTGTCTAAATAATTTTAAACCAATTTTTTATAATTTAAAAAAGTGCTTACCTAATTAATTTTTAGTTCTACATAAAACGAGTTTATTTGTTCCTCACTTGTAAACATCAATTTACCAAGTCGCTGTATTCAATATGAAAATGTCACTTATCTGGCTAGCCAGTAACATTTTACAGCCCTGCTCGTGCTACTTCAGCCATGTATTTTAAACATTTTAAACTATTATAAGTTGAAATGACAGCCAAAATTGATTCAGGCAAATTGTCACTCACAATTGCTGCTTCCTCAGTAATATAGCTTGCGCCACACTCGTTTCAATACATCGAAAACGATAAATCGAAAAATCTAAATGACAGAACTAGCCAACATAATAAGTGTTATGATAAGTGCCATGCTGACGTGCGTTTCCAAGGAAATACGTCTAAAGTGCATACGATGTTTCTTCAAATATTGGACCTTCTAGAGTTTTTAATAGTTTATAATAGTTATTTACACGTGAGAAACAAATAAAATATTGAACAATACACGCAAGGTAACGGGTTTTTACTAGCTCCAGAAGGTCCATATATCCTTCTGTCCGCCAGTAAAAACTCTTTTACCATGCTAGTAATGTTAAATACTATTGTAATAAATAGCGGAGTAATAAACTGTACGTAATCTAAATGTAAATGTATTTATACTTCGTCCCATATCAGTCAACTAAAACATGAAATGAATAAATTAGAAACTAGAAATAAAAACATTAGAAGATCATTGTTTCCATACAAAAACTGCTTATAGCCTTTGTTTTGATGACAGTGTGAAATCATCAACAGTTGTAACCTCTTTGCATTTTGACGCTAGAAAGAATTGGAAGTTTTCAGTTATCATTATTCGAATTGTAATAAAGGTCAACCTGCAGTTAGTTGTATCAACAGAGTTGAGTAATACAATTAGTTATGGTTAGCTTAACCTTAAAACAATTTTTTTCTACACTTGGGAAACACACCAAAAATTTTTAATAAACTAATTTTGAGTTTTAAAAATAAAATGAATATAACTAAATAATGGCGACTGCCCAACTAATTAAGTTTTTGCACTGCTTTACTTCGTTTAGCAAAAACACAATTAATCCTTCATAACTACAGACAAAAAACTTTGGTCAAGCAGAGATTTCTTATTGTAACAAGTAAACATTTGAGATATTTAGTATTTAAAATAGATTTCTTCATTGACGTTGCATATTTAATACTTTGTATACATATTTCTATGTTAAAAAATTCATCAGTATATATTAATCAGCACCGTTATCGTATTCACAGTTTTGGATCATTCTTTATATGGATGTATGTAATATTAGTTACATGTAGCACAAAAAAGGAACACAATAATAAAATGTGAATCAACATATGTTTTTATCTAAAGTTTCATCCAATTTAGTAGCTGATACAATTATTATTTACTCTAATGTTAATAAATATCGTTAACAGCACTTAACGTAATTAACATTCATTACAGTTCACTTAACAAAATATTTACATGTAGTACCTCGTGTTGCTAAACTCGCATTAAAAGCATATTTGTTTTTATGTTAGATAAAAAATTGTACAAAGTGTTAACAATGTCAGGAATAACATTTATGATTTCCTCGTTTCGTAAAAAGATATTTCTTGGTAGGATTTTGGAAAAATTTTTCAAACAAATGTTTTGATTCTTGTTTATTGAAATTTTGCACAAATAAAGTGTATGATAAGGATAAGATACCTAATAGGCAAAACAATTCTACTTAATATGAAGTCACCGACCGATTATAAATTTTCTAATTTTGTCATAATCATCAAAACATCCCTAATAAAAATTAATTTAATAATAATTAACACTGAATACCAAAGTTTAGAAAATAACCAATAAACAAGAGAAAATATTTGACTCTGTACATAAAATATATCTCTAAAATTTACAATAGTAAATGTTATTCAAGTTTTATAAAATAACATACCCCTGCATTTGTTGTTTGTTAAACTGTGTTGAGTTAGACATTCAGATTTTTAGGAAAAAAATCAAAATTATATACCATCTGACAAATTAATTTTGAAACTGCTGCTCTGAAACCTTACAAACGTTTTAAGATTATTGCAAGCATGGTAAATCGTGAAACAAAATTGATCGGCTTATCCTATCCAAAAAGTGATGATGTCATCACAAAAATTTTGCCGTATAAATCTTACTTAAAATATGCAAAATATTAACAGTGTTGTGGTTTTTCAATGCATTCATATTTCTTAAAATTACTTATACAGGGTGATTCAAAAAAATGAATAAATGAGGATACATCACAAAATTTTGTTATGGAAAAACTAATTTGAAATAAACACACAGCTTGTTTCTTTCCTTATATTTTACCAGTACACACTTTTCTTTTTACTTCCGGAGCGTAAGCGCATTCATATTTTTGGAGCAGTTGTTAATCCGGTTCCTAACATGGATTGACGACTAAGTCACTCCAAAGTTGAAGTCACAGCGTTATACCAATGCAAGAAAAAAAAACGAAAGGGCCAAGTTTGGCATCGAACCACAATCGCAGTACCACAGGTCGCCATTACCTCCGATACACCCACTGAGCAACGGAGTCCAAACCGTGTCGGGAATAAAACATTATTATACCTTGCAAATATGTTTTTGCGAAAATTTGAACATTTAGCGAAGAAAGTAAAAGTGGATTCGTACACTACAAGTATATGAGTGTATTTTTGTGTAACATTCAAATCATTTTAGAATACCATTCATTGAAATGACGTCATCAAATTGTTGGTGGGGATAATCATCCCCACCAACAATCAGCCATATTTTAGTTAGCACTTAACCATCTCCACGATATTTCTAATGTACATAAAAAATTTGACAACAATCGGTCCGGCAGTTTCGGAGATTACGTATCTAATAAAAATGGATACAGACAGACGGGACGGAAACGGGAGACTGCTTTTTTCGTACTGTAGGGGTCATGAAACGTTTAGAAAACATAAAAGTAGCCATTCGTGCGATGGACGATTACTGCGCTTACGCTCGGGAAGTTAATAATACCCAAACAACTTCTGTGTACAGTACCACACTTTGACCCCCCATGCCCTCAATCCGACACTGCTTTTACTACCTATAAAATAATTTCTTCAGAATTTTCATGTCTTTTGATTATCACAACTTTAAATCGTAATGACGACTACTGTTGAAAAAAGTTAAAAAAAATTTGTTTCAGATTTTTGCATCCCAAAAAATATGCAAAACGGCCAAGGTTCCCATGCTAGGATTTTCGGAAACAGCGCATGCTGTCTTTAAATACGGACCATCAAAATTTCAGCCATTGGCCAACTTTGCTAGGTAAGTTTTAGCGGAATTCGCACTGACGTCATCTTCATCCATAAACAAAGCAAAAATGTGGCTTTCACGAGATGAATCACAAATGATCATTCAAGTACGTAATTCCAACAAAAAACTATACCGTTTGATTCATATCGGTTGCACAGGCGATTTTGGGGTCATGGTGACTGATGGTTTGCCTTCACGCTTGTAGAATAACGAATTGTCATAATTAGGTCCGGTATTATTGGGTGCGTTTCACAAATCCTATTAATGGTTATTGGTGTGAAGTCCCATCCAGACTGTCTGTATTTTAGTATATTCAGCGCGTTGAAGTGGTAATTTTTGTTTTACTGTATTTAATCTGATCTACAGTTTTTATGATTAAATGCCTCAAGTTATCGTTTCCTGCAAATAAAGGATATGAAGAACACAAAAGAAAAGCATGCTACTACGCAGCAGACTGCGTGTCACGGATGTGGGAGTCTTGTAATGACGATTTTATTTACTTTTACTGGCACTTTCTTTGGTTGTTTTTTTTTGCGTTTTTGAAGAATTTATATAACACCGGTTAAAGTGGTTCAGTCAGTATCAACAAGGTAACTACCTAATTAAAAAGAACTGATTTTTCCCAGGTTTTACCAGGTTGTAAACAACTGATATTTGAGAAACTGATTCATAAGTTAATGACATACGCACTGGGAACAACAACAATATTGATTTTTCATTGTACATTCTGCCAAGAGTATCAAGGCTTACCAGAATCTAAATTTTATTGAATCATTCAGTTCTAAGTAACCTGTGGATAAAAACCACAAATGTGTGTTGTAATTTTTAGTTGTTTTTCTATCTCTTATATTCATTAAAAAATATCGTGAGAAATATTAAACCGTAAACGCATCGAAATTTATTAATCTCAGTTACCATATTTTTCTTGTTTACAAACACGATAATTTTTTTCTGGAATTGCAAAATGTCTCTGTAATGGTCCCGTTCATATTAATATTGTGCGAAGTGAAAGATCCTTTAAGAGTTTTCTTGTGTATTGCGTTAATAGATTATATTCCACATTTAATAACAAGTTCACAAAATAATTGTTTTGCAGTTGTTGTTCAAGTATTTTTGACCTTTACATCTTCGTTACTTGACCTTCTAGTTTTCCAGCGTAATAATGTTTTTTTCACCTTTACTAAATGACATCATAGTTGAGGTAATGAGTAACTGCGGACAGAATTCGAATGTGACTGTTATGCCGAGTATGATTATGATTATTTACATAGAAATATTTAATTATGGATAATGTGTTCCGTAAACGTTGCAAGCAAAAATGTTCTTAACTGTACAAACCATAACGTTTGTTACGACGAAACAATTCCACTTTGTATATACTTACAGTGCCTTTTTTTTAACACTGGCCATAGGGATTTACATGCTAAAATTTTACGTCATGTTTTTGAGTATTCTATAAATCAGTTGCAGTTCATTTTATCGTACAAAACAAAATAATTACAGAATTATAATAAATTAATAAAACTTTTAGCTTATGCTCGGGAAGTAGAAAGTTTATTAAATTTGTTACATATTGTTTGCCTAGGAGCTGTGACTAAGCATCATAACATGACAGCTGTAAATGTGTGGCGAATTTAATATGTACATTTATTTTTGTTGCAATTTATTATTTTATTCTCTGCGATAAAACGAACTCAAATAGATTTATAAAATACTAGTCTAATATTCTGCCACATCTCACTTGAAAATTCTTGCCATAAAACTCAACACAACCAAAAGTTTTAGCACGTAAATCCCTACGGCATGCGTTAAAAGAAGACACTGTATGTGTACAGCGCGCTTATGTTTTAAACAAAATACAGTACGCTGTTATCACTCAATTTATTTTAAAATAAAGAATTGTATTGTTTTCAACTTGATAATTTATCTTTCCTCTTTATTCGTATGTTGTAAGAAATTTAAGTTAAGACTTGCCATATTTTTACAACACTTGTACTAAACTTATAAAACAAATCAAGCTATTTAACAAATAGTTATAGCTCAGGTTTTTGCCGCGAAATTTGGAAGTCACTTCCAATATTCCACCTGTTCAATATCCTAGACCAATTTAGTCATATGTACCAGACATCTCGAGAACAAATATCTCATTTTCTTTTTTAATAATTTAATTAATTACTTCACAATATTGGTGGTAGTACTAGGCCTTTAGTTGATGTGATAAATACGAGTCCCTTCCCAACTCAGTTAGCCGAATGCGGGATTTTTCAAAAATTCGTTTTTGTAAACAAAAATACAAGTAATAGATGAAGTTGGCATTTTTACTTCCGGAACGTAATGTAAGGAAATTTTGTAATCGAACTCATCGGGCGACTGGCTACTTTTATGTTTTCTTTACCACAAGAATACGAAATAGTTATTTACATTACAAGCTGCGTAAGTAAACGTTTTTGCCGAGGCAACGTCGAGGCCCGGCAACCCTCCGAGACTTAAGAAAGGAGTTACGCAGCGTGTATTGTATTACGTTTTTTCTGCAACCGACAGCAGTAACACTGAAAAGTAGTAATTGTAGTAACTAAAAAATATTTAACAAATTATCAGGAACTCGTTGAATGTATTCATTTCCGTAGCAACAAGGTAAAACATTTGTTTAGACATGAAGTTTTTTAAAAAGTAGTTGTTCAAAGTGAAAAACAGAGGTGTTCAAAGTACTCAACTAAAGTACTTGAAGTACCAAGTACAAAGTACTTCTTGAAATAGTGTTCAAGTAAAGTACCAAGTACTTACTTTTACTGAAAGTACTTCAAGTCTCAAGTACTTTCCTCATGTATAAAAAAAATACAAAAAAGACAAAATTCATGTATTCACAACTTTACATCGCTGAAAATTTTACACAGATCTCCGACCCTTCTGCTGTCGTCATCCACTCTCAAATGACACAACTTTAATTTTCTTACCTACCTATCTGACTTATGCAAGTACCTGTGAAATATACGTCGTATTGTGGTTAAGATATCCACAATCACAGATCAAAATATAACCTCACAGGAAACAAATACGATTTTACTATGAAAATACATCTAACCAAATAATTGAATTAATAACTTCAAGTATTTAACAGACCCTATTTTGAGATGTGAAAACTTCGTAAAATAGAGACTGAAGTATTTGAAGTTTCCACTTTCATACTTCAAGTACTTCAAGAGTATTTAAAATACTGAGTGAAGTACTTGGAGTAAAGTACTTGGCAAAATCAAGTACTAAACTCAAGTACATTTTAGAAATACTCCAAGTACCAAGTACCAAGTACCTAAATATAAAAGTACTTCAAGTAAAGTACTTAAAGTACTTGAAGTATTATTTGAAGTATTACTTCAAGTACTTTTACTTGAAGTACTGAACAGCTCTGGTGAAAAATGAGTGATTCAAGCCATTTAAAGGCAATAGAAGAAGCTGCTAATATTGCTTGTGCATCTCTATTACCTGAAAAATCGAAATTACGTTACAATCAAACGTACAAAGCATTTTCAACCTGGTATACATCACGAAACATTCAAGATGCTATTGAAACCGTAATACTTGGTTATTTTATGGAAAGATCCAAAGCCCTCAAGTCTCCTAGCAGTTTATGGTGTGAATATTCAATGCTGAAATTAACGTCGTGTCAGTTCTTCTGTTGTTATACCTCAATTATAAAAGAAAATGCTGGAGGCACAATTCATGCAATTGATGAAAATGTGACAGTTACTAATTTTGAAATAACTTCAAAGAATAATCCTTTAATAAATATTACTGAGTGTAGTGTTACAGTTAATATTAATAAATAATTATAAAAGAAACTTCAAGTGTACCTATTGCTGTAAAATGAAATTATTGACATTTCTTTGACCTTCTACTACCTCCATTACCTTTTTGTCCTGGCAGCGTAAGTAACAGTTACGCCTTTAGTAACCTACTTACGGAGCTAGCAACGAGGTTGCCCTATTTACTTCACTTACATTGTACGTCAGTGTCACTGGAGCAATAAGATTCATTTACGCTATAGCGTTGGCTATCGCTCTCCAAAATGATTGCTTTGGAAATACATTTTAATCCTCAAAATGCTGTTTTAGAAGACTAATCCTCTAAAGGTATCATAGCAACCTTTATGGGATTATATTTATTAAAGTATTAATTTGAAGCATTGAACGACAAAATCAATTCTTTATTTGGAGATATTAAACGTAAAACTACAATTTGAAGCATATTTAAGAGTCTCCGGAAAAAGACACGCCACTTTCAGGTATTTCTTTCCTATTTGCAGGCTCCGTAGATTCCAAAACATACCGCCACTTTTATCATCAAATACTTTTCGTCGTCAGCTTCTTTTAAGAATTTATTCACTTCCTCTCTTGAAGGTACTTCCGATTTTTTTGGCTCGTAACCGACTGAGGTTTTAAAAAAGCTAACACTTTTGAAAATGTTTCAACTTTGGCGTTTTCCTTTAATGACATACAATGTTGTCTTGAACATTGAATATTTAGACCAAACTGATGATGGCTTTAAATATTTTGATTTTTCGTGGATATAAGTTAACATCACGTCTTCATTCACTGCTAACACTTTATTCTTCGTCTGCCATTCTTTGAAAGCTTGGTACTCCTTTTCATATTGCTTGCGGGATTTAGAAGGAAGCAGATCCAAAGTAATTTTTTGAGCTCTCTCGGAAATTGATTCTGGGACTATTTCACTCATTTTTGTAATACGTAATCATTAATTATTATAAATTATGCACAAATGCGTTTTTCACAATAACAATTGATGATTTTTTTCATCAACAAACTGCCTTGGTACCCCAATGACAACTGTAATCTAGGTTAGACGACCTATTTTTAAAAATTAAAAAAAATTGAGATTTTCTGTGTTTTAGAGAGTTTTTACCAAAAAATTATGTAAGTAATTCGTACGCAAACAGTTTTAGCGAACTCATCTTGTTAAGAACTCGGCTCCTTCGCCGTCTCGCCCTTAATTATCGA